TAATATTTCCTATATTGATAGATTTTATATGATAAAGACATAATCTTTCGACCAGTCTAATTGAGGTCTGGAGCTGGCATGTCAGTAACTGCTAGTAGTCCTTTGTTAATTTATGTTGATCATTATCATTTTGCTTGGATTAAATAGTATTTTTTCAATAAAACAAATCATGATAAAATAGATAATACATTATGATCAATTAGATTCAGAAACAAGCAACATTGCTTATCTTAATTTGTCTTCCAAAAAATGATGACACACAACATAATGGTGGGGCATTTTGAATGAGTGTGATTCGCATGACGGGTGATGGATGCATAACAGGAGATACTTATCCTGTCGTCGCACCAAGGCCTACTATGGTCATAAAAATTTACTAGGAACTCTGAGTACAAAATATTTTACTCGAAACACCAAATCCAGCATTTTGGTTGGTTGAATTCTGAGTCTGAGTACGATAATCGTACTCAAAAGTTTTATGACCACAAGGCCAGAGCTATCACCTTTTGTAGTTCATGCGATTTCCTCAGTTTTTGTTTGTTACCTTGTTTTGTGTCTTCCAAATCGATTAACGAGATTTGAACTACTGTTGCCTAAACTTAGTGTGGTTAGGTTGTGTCTTATTGACGCATAACTCAAATCTCTATTAATGCAAATAGTATCTCAATGGTTTTGATATATCAACGGTCTTCAATAAACACTAACGTTTAAATCATGAGAATATTTTTGTAAATTCATTTAAACTGAAATTAAGCAAAAATAAAGCGGGTCGTTTTTTTTCAACAATACACTACCCTGTCTCAGTAACTGATGTCGTGGTTTTCTGTTGTATGCATACATAGCTATTTAGAAATTCATTTATACTCGCACTTGTGCGGGTTACTTTCTAAAATATACACACACAAAAAATAAAGATAAAACAGCAATATAAAAACAGGAAATATATCTGTAGGCCAATATACTGTGTTCCAGAGGACAAGTGTGTTAATAATATGCCAAGTTCTAAATGAATCGTTGACTAATACCAATTCAACAGAGATTAACAAAGACATGCTGCTTTGAAATTCGTTAAAAGAAGATGCTTTCACGGAGACACACTTGAAATCAATTTTTCAGTCTATTTAGAGGTAGGAAATATTTTTGTCGTGTCTTTCCTAGATTAGACAGTATTTCATGGAAATTCTAATTACCAGACAATAAGGGAAACATTTTGCGTGATGAGAAATTGCAAAAAAGAAATACTGCCGGATAAGCTTGTCAAACCCCCAGGATGCTGCTTGTCAATCTGAACCAGTATCAACAATTATAATAGGCGTTTTAATTTGAAATGCATTTCGAATGATCTGTAATATTGATGTTATTTAAAATTATGTTTCAGATAAAACATGCATACATATTTGTTCATACATTATCGTGATGACACATAAAAATCATGAACTTATAAATGTAAGAGTCTGATTCAATATAGGAACTGAAAATAAAGAGTCGGATTGGAATCGTTCTCACTTCTTTTGACAAGACTTTAGTGAGATTATTCTAGTAACTTTACTTAGTAGTAACATTTCAGTTTTAATGACTCGATTTGGTCAATAATGTTTTATCGAGATTTATCCGGTCGATGAGGGTCCGTTGGTACGTTTGTGTCGAAGAAATGTTGAAAAAAGTCACTTCATTTTTGTTGTGATAAGAGATGTAAATGAAAAAAAACTCTACATGTGAGATATAGTAATGCCCTACTAAAAGTAAACTTCATGGAGACTATGAATACAAAAAAAAGTTAATCAATGCAAACAAATTTAATTATATGTATACAGCTTTCTTTTCTCATTGAACTACAAATAGGTCTTGACAACCTCTTGCTTCACTTTATATGATTTGAATATAATAAGGAAAGAGAATTGATTTAATTCAAGAAAACTTTGTATTCTAACTCTCTACAGTTAGAACTATTTCCGGAAACAATTTTTACCAAACATGCTAGATGATATATATCGATAAATGAGTACATTGTATTTTCATATATATTTGTTTATTTCGTGATTGAAAATGATATAATATGATTTAATTTAGATGTAATATAATGATGCTTACCAGAGAGTTACCCTGGCTTTCACTAGAATGCTGGACTAGTTAAGTAAATTGTTAACAGCAATAGTGCAATATGTTGTTGAAAAAAAAGGAAACTTCTATTATTAACTACCATCACATCAATGCTATGCTAAACTTGCGTTTTAGTCAATATCTGCATGTTTATTTTAAACTGTATTTGTATCAAAGATTTTAAAAAATTGTGCGGACTCACCGCTGTTGCCCCGACGGTTGGTATAAATTCAGCTTTTCTAAGAAATGTATGTCAGTATCGTTGCGCAAATCTAAAGACATATTTTGCCTCAGATTTAGCACAACAATGTTAGATCTGCAAATTTGCGTTAGTAAATTTTTGTTTTTTCCTCAGGGGGATTCGAATCCCTGCATCTGAGACATCGTGGCAACACTGCCTGCACTGTGTCCAGCGCCCTGGACCACTCGGCCAAATAGGCTATATAAATAAAGTTGTGGTTAGTCGAGTAATGCCTTTCCTCGTCGGCTTCATCTAGGGTTGTAACACAGTACATGATGTAAAGTGGCAAGTAAATGGTATGCCTTGTATATCAGTTATTATCTATATAAAACACTTGATAAAAATATAACGAATGGTACAGGTTCAGTTCATAAAAAATACCAGGCATCTTGTGGAGAGTTGTCTCGTTGGCAATCATACCACATCTTTCTATTTATATATAATGAAGTATGTCAGATGCGGGTTTTGTCTACACAACATTCGCCAGTAGAGCTCGAAGAAAGTTGGAAGGTAAAATCAATATCGAAGTTTAATGCGCCTACAATCCTTTGCTTTGAGGAATTTATACATAGTTACAATGGCAAACATGGCCTTTACGAGAATCACTGTGAGTATCTCACTAGAAGTAGGAATTGATTACACTTCCGGAATATTTGAGTTCTTCCCAGTGGTAACACCGTCCATGTTTATCATATGTTTCCTAAGTATCCCTTTGTTTGTCACGTTTTTTTATTTTTTACTTATCCATAGATTCTGTGACTTACAGTTCCACGAATCAACAAATCAAGCCAATATTTCCTCTGTGTGCCTTACCTAAAATAATATTTAGCTACAATATGTCTTAATAAAACATTTTAAAGTGTGTAAAATATCTTTTTAGGTAAGGGCTTGACTTATATCTATTCCGTCTAATAGCTACAAATAATTTATGTATAAAAAGCCAGATAATGGCTCTTATCATACATGTACCTCCCTACGCCTTTCAACTATATTTTAACTTTTTTTACCGTAAAGGTTTATTCTAAGCAACGTGTGCAGGTCACTTGAAGTTCTGTATATAAATAAAAAAAAATATATAACAAAGAAAGAATTATAAAACCATTTTTACAGGTAAAATTAAATATATATATATATTTATACATTATTTATATTGATTTTAAAGCATCTTTAATACCTTTGAAGCTATATTTATAAAAAAAGTTTGCCAGTTAGGAATAAAAAGGTGAAATAAAACGATGATTTATCTTTGCTAATTTTGCATTAGTATGGGGCCAAAATCACAACAGCTACACTGAAAATATTCATTTTCTTTCTGTTAAATGTAAAATGTTATGTGATACCCTATATACGTTTGTCTTTTTCAAATCGATTCTAACATCCTCCCAAATCGCAAAGAGTTATTTTTAATTATACTAGAGATATTTTAGGTAGAGGTTACTAAGGTTTAGATTTAGCCCATCACAACAAAAAGTGTACCTTTTCATTGCAAAATAATTATATAATGGTGTACTGATATTTTACTCTTAGAAACATGAATTTTCGTTTAGTTGTTATTGGCTTTGAACTAGCTTTCAGTAAAAAATGAAAACAACGCGTTATAAATTTCATGCGTCCGAAGCGCTTTTCAGGATTTAACTTTATAGTTTAAGAGCTATATAACCAAACAATGACCTATTAAAATAGCCAAATCCACCTAAGGTCAACTTTGCCTGATGGAGTTGAAACCTTAGTTTCTTATAATATCAAAATTTATTAATGAACAATTTTTATCATGTCAGTACCGAAGTTTTGATTTCTGAGCTGATGATACCCTCGGGTTTTAAAATGTCATGTGAATACTCTCAGATCTGTACTTTGTGTCTTTTGTGTTTTTGTTGGTGTTTTTAGTTTTGTATCGATCAGATGAGTTAAGTCCTTTTCAACTGATTTTTATAGTTGTTCATATGTTGTACTGTTACACCACTGTCCCAGCTTAGGGGAGGGGTGGTACAAGCAAGCCTGTTTAACCCCGTCACATTCTATATGTGCCTGTCCCAAGTCAGGAGCTCGTAAATCAGTGGTTGTCGTTTGTTGTTGTATATCATATTTGTTTTTCATTTATTAGTGTGTACATAAATCTGGCCGTCAGTTTTCTCGTTTGAATCGTTTTACATTTGTCATTTTGGGGCCTTTTATAGCTTACAATGCGGTATGGATTTGTTCATTCTTGAAGGCAGTATGATGGCCTTTGTTGTTAACTTCAACGTCATTTGATCTCTGGCGGAGAGTTGTGTAGTGCCAATCATACCACATCTTCTTATTTTCATTTAAACGGGACAAAGGAAATGCTTGTTATTTTTTTAAGATCGTACAGATTTAACATTTTAGAAATATACAAAACCAATTGTATGGCAAATAAGTCTTTTAATCTAAATTAAGGAATTTACTTCTGCATCCCTTGTTGATCATTTTTTGCTTCCAAATTTATCTGCTTACAGTGTATTAATTTTCATTTGTAAAGTCTTTTGTAATGTCTTTGTATGATTCCTTGTTGTAGAATATGTGTAATGCCTTATCACAGAATATGTCTGATGCCGTATCGCAGAATATGTCAGATGTCTTATCGCAGAATATGTCTGATTCCTTGTCGTAGAATACGTGTGATGCCTTATCGCAGAATATGCCTGATGCCTTATCACAGTATATGTGTGATTCCTTATCGCAGAAAATGTGTAATGCCTTATCGCAGAAAATGTGTAATGCCTTATCGCAGAAAGTGTGTGATGCCTTATCGCAGAATATGTCTGATACCTTATCGCAGAATATGTCGTCTGATGTCTTATCGCAGGATATGTCCGATGCCTTATCGCAGAATATATGTGATGCTTTATCACAGAATATGTCTGATGCCTTATCGCAGAATACGTGTGATGCCTTATCGCAGAATATATCCAGTGCCTTATCGCAGAATATATCCGATGCCTTATCACAGATTATGTGTGATGCCTTATCGCAGAAAATGTGTAATGCTTTATCGCAGAATAAGTCCGATGCCTTATCACAGAAAATGTGTGATACCTTATTGCAGAATATGTTTGATTCCATGTCATAGAATATGTGTGTTGCCTTATCTCAAAAAATGTGTAATGCCTTATCGCAGAATATGTCTAATGCCTTTTCGCAGAATATGACTGATGCCTTATCGCAAAATATGTGTGATGACTTATCGCAGAATATGTCTGATGCCTTATCTCAGAAAATGTGTAATGCCTTGTCGCAGAATATGTCTAATGCCTTTTCTCAGAATATGACTGATGCCTTATCGCAGGAAATGTGTGATGCCTTATCGAAGATAATGTGTAATGCCTCATCGCAGAATATTTGTGATGGCTTATCGAAGAATATATCTGATGCCTTATCGCAGAATATGTGTGATGACTTATCGCCAAATAAGTGTGATGCGTTACTGCAGTATATGTCTGAGGCCTTATTGCAGCTTTCATATGATGTTTTACCGCAGAATGCACGGGATATGTATGATTTCGGATCGTAGAATAAGTGTGATCCTTATCATAGATATCATAGATATCATGGATATCGTTAATATCATATCAAGATGACCACCAGCAGATTTTAATAGAGTACAAAGACAGTTTCTTGCTAGTGGAAAAGAAACCGCTATCCTATCGGAGCACACGAGTTCAGCTATTTTCGATGGGGTTTCAATTTCTCGATATTAAGTTTTCTGTGATTTGTTTTGTTGCTAGCCGTTTCTTTTTTCTTTCTTTTTCTAATGGCTATGGTGTTGTAATGTACTTCTACGACATGTTTGTAAATAATGTTACAAAGTCTTCTTTTCCATCCTTACAAAATGAAAAAAAAAAAAATCTTTTATACATTTGTAAACATATAGTTGAATTAATAGATTTACTGTTTTTAAAGTTAACATGCATCGAACTGGTAAACCATCCTCTTTATTGAAAGTCAATTAAAAGGTTTTGTTAAATATTTATTTGCTCACATAGCATCCAAATCAAGTGTTACAAAGGTAATACAATCTTTATATTCCGCATTTAAAAAGGACTTTAAATCGTTATTTCGATTTTGTCTCTGATAATCTGACAGATTCATGCATATTCTGTTACAAGTAGGTTATGTCGTCATAAGCGTTTATTCATTTCTAATGCAGTTTATAATCATAAAAAAGATGGAAATATTCTATAAATCTATGATTATTGCGTATTTTACAATGTATCTTGTTGTGCTGTCGGACACTTCTTATACAGGTATGTTAGTGTTTCTTTTTTTTTGTCTCTTTCTTAAATATATACTCGTATGTTATGTATAAATAGTGAGCAAGGGTAAGCTACAACGACACAATAAATAAACTCATCATAGATATCAGGATTAGAATTTTGTATGCAAGACGCGCGTTTCGTCTACAAAACGAAGCCAACATCATAAGTTTCAACTAAAACAATCAAAGAAATTCCATACGGAAAAGATAAGTAAAAATAAAGAGCCACCAGCAAATGACGAAATAAGACAAGAGCATACAGAAACGCCGATAGCTAATGGCGAAATTCTAGAAATGGGACAGTCCGAAACATAAAGTTACCTAAGTTTTTTTATGCAGCCCTGCCTATATAGATTTTTTTTATCTCTATTAATAGATCTTAGGTACCTCAAATGTAGAAGCAAATATATCATGCATATTGAGGATATGTATCTATCAATAAAGAGCAGGATAGGGGTCGGATAAAACAACGTTGAGTATTGGTAGCTATTTTCGTAAAGATTGCCTTTACACTGGTCATTTCAAACGAAAAGTTGTGCATTTGTTGCTCACTTTTAGAGAATGACAACAATCCAACACGTTCATTGGATTTAAAGTCTGGAATCACAGAACAAGTCACAAGTGAAAGAGCTCAAAAAGCTAAAAATGCCAAGAATTCAATGACATACATTTTGTACAAAAGAACCCTATTAATTCAATTGTTTGTATTTGTTATTTAATTTTCAAATTTAACTGTTGACACATTTTATCTTTATTTGTATATTAAACACAAAGTTGATGTATTTTTTTTAAAAACATGAAATCTTTATCAGCAGATAATTTTTGTATAGATTAAACTGATTAAACACAATTCTCGTGATTTTTAATGTAAATCCCCAGGACAGTAGTACAATAAACAAGGAAGACTTAGTTATATTTTTCTACAGCTTAAAAACATGCAAATATTTTATGGGATTCTAGGAATGTCATTCTCATACGGTAGGAAGAAAGAAGGAATGATAAAAGGTTTTTACTTGACATCTCAGTATTAACAGATAAGCCTTTATTTTATATATAAAACTTAAGTGTACGTTAAACTTGTATTTAAAAAGACTTTAATTTCAAAACATAATATGCAGATATGGAAACTTCAAGAAAACGGAAAAGCAACCAAACTTGAAGAAAAAAATACAGGAAAACAACTTATAGAATATACCGTATCTCACAGTGATTTTTTTTTTCAGTTCAGTGAATTAACTTTCATTTGAAAAAACTAATGTATAGGAATGGTATTGAATTGTTAAAAGTGAATTAAATATAGAGTATTGGACTGGCATACAATTAAAGCAACCCAACGGAATATGGACCATATCAATTAAATGTGATTGATCAAAATTATGTAGAAACGTTTCTATCAATTTAATTTCCCAAGTCAGGTGCATGTAACTCACTGCTTGTAGTTGGTTGCAGTCTGTAATATTTCTTTTTTATTTATTGTTCTACTAGCATACATCAGGCTGTTGGTTTTCTCGTTTCAAATGTTTAACATTTTATCATTTCGGGTCCTTTTATAGCTGACTATACGGTACTAGAATGCTTATTGTAGAAAGCCGTACGGTCACATACATTTGCTTTAATCAAGTCATTTGGACTCTGGTGGATAATTGTCTCATTGGCAATCATTGGTTTTACATTCATTACAAATGTCAAAGAAATATTAAGAATTAGATCTTCATTCACTCTACTGGAAACCAAATCATGCATGTGCCAAAATACTGTCATGCTGCTGAGTCTGGTAAATACATCACAAAACCTCATTCAAAATTACTTACATGTAATATATCAGAAATTAAAACAGGGCTTTAAAGTTGCTATCAAACTTCGTACTCAAGGGGAGGTGCGAATCATATTGGAAGCTAAATTGAACTAAAGAGGGACGAAAGATACCAGAGGGACAGTCAAACTAAACTAAAATCTGTAGGGACATTCAATTATAATCCTTTATCTTAAATCAAATCATTTTAAATTTTCACTCTTTACACAGGTACATGTGTACTCCATTTTTAACTTAAAGACATATTGGAGACAACTATATATATACTATGCCTCATTAAAAGGAAATTCGATCATATTAAGTATAAAAAGCTTGTTTCAGAAAGATCCAGAATCGATACTTTGTTAAAAACCACTGATTCTAAAAACAGTTCTCTGAAACTGGCCTGTTCAAGAAGCTTGATTATATATTGTTTATGTTTGGTAAAAGTGTTTTTTCAACAGACAGTTAGCATTTTGTTATCATCTACTCGAATAAAAGTTCTTCCATTACTTTTGTTTAAATTACTAATAAAAAACAAATAAGAGAAGAACATTCTTAAGCCTAAACACATTATATCAAAAAAATTAAAAACATTTCGTACTCTTACTTGCTGGGAGGAGTCGAAGAATTATAAATACATGTTGTTTGGCCTAAACACAAACGTGTTTCAATGTCGAATAACTTCAAAGACAAACTGGTTATCTACGTTTGAAGATTCCACGAGGTCAATATTCGGATTAAAACTTAATACTGTAGTAATGATAAAATAAAAGATGCAAAATGCCACTATTTTTACATAAAGATTCTTTAATATTTCACTGAAATTGGTTGACTTGTTATGGAGAGTTGCAGATACAAAGCGACAACCCTGTTGTATAAATATGACAAAGTCCCTGTATTGATCCGGGAAACCACCATATCAATTAGATATACAAATAAAATAGATGTGCATAATATCACGTACTGAAATGTTTCCTATAGAAGCATTGAAAGTATAAAAGAGTCGGAACGAGGAAACAATTTCATAACAAAGACATACATACCTTGTAGGAATTTTCAGTGCTAAATGTGAAATGCGTTTTAAGTTTTTCTGATACTCAAGATAAACTGTTAATAATTTCACATTTACTGAACATTGAATTTTTCAAAGTAGCTATTCATTCAGATTTGTTTCGTATGTTTGAAGGAGTATTGTTTGTACGAATCTCATATCTAAAGCAGAAAAATTTGATTGAATATCAACCGGATGCACGTTTAAAAAATCAAAACGAAAAAAATGTCTTTATAAATAGTAATTATCAATACAACAAAGTACAATATTTCGTTTTTGTTAAGTATATACATTTTGCAACAATTGAGTATAAAGCATTGCAGATACAGAAAACTATGAAACACCATGCAATCAAATCATCATAATTGTATACCAATATATACCATGCTCACCAATGACGCTCCAATAAAAACAATAACAATTCTGAAAGGTTTTGCCAAATACAGCAAATGTAATCCCTTCCTTGGGTAGAAAATCTATAGTATTTCGAAAAATTCAAAGTTTAGTAAATTGTTAAATCATAATTATGACCATATCAATGATAATTGATGTCAACACAGAAGCGCTGACTACTAGGCTGGTGATACCCTCGGGGAAGTAATATCCACCAGCAGTGGTATCGTTCGCGTGGTAGTATCTAAACTCATCATGCATACCAGGTTTAAAAGTTTGTACACCAGACGCACGTTTTGCCTACAAAAGACTCATCAGTAACGCTCGAATAAAAACATTAAAAGTCCAAGTGAAGTACGAAGTTGGAGAGCATTAATATTGAGGACTTAAAATTCCGAAAGGTTTTGCTATATTCACCTAAGGTTATCTAGTCTTGGAGTAGAAATGATAATCTTAGACTGTGGAAATTCAACAAGATTCGCATTTTTTTCTTTTCGTATGTTTTGTTTTTGGTCAGTTTTGTTTGTCATCTTTGACTTTAATTGCCCTTATTTAGCGTCTTACATACTTTGCATTTATGATTAACTTAGTAGTTGTTTGTTGCTGAACGTCTTGTGTCAACTTTCTGCACGCATATACATAACAAAAACAAATCAAATTGGTAAGTTGTCAATATGTAGGCCGATCAGATAGAAAAGGTGGGATGGAGGGGTAAGCGGAATTTAGCTGTCAATTTTGTAAACAAATATTGTTTCCATATTTGTCACAAGAACCACCATAACGTTTTATATTCACAAAAAGAACATATTGAGCCTTTATCTCAGGGGTTGTCGTTGGTTGAATGTCTGTCATATTTGTTTTTCGTAAATTGTTTTGTTATAAATTCGGCCGTTATGTTTCAAAATTGAATTGTTTCATATTTTTCATGTCGGGGCCTTTTATAGCCGACTATACGGTATTGGTTTTTCTTACTGTTGAAGGTCCTACGGTTGCCTATAATTGCTTACATCCACCTTATTTGAACTTTGGTTGATAGTTGTCTCATTGGCAACCATACCACATGTCCTTATTTTTATTTTGAATGGCTCCATTTATTTAGAAAACCTGTTACCAGGCTGAATTTCATACATGTGCATGTAGCTTAAAACACACGGTCAGAGGTGTCCAGTGATAAAATTATTCAAAATTATCGGTCTTATATTTTTTATACAACTTTTCCGGCCTTACCGATTGCTAGTTGCATTCAAATCACCTGTTTTCGTGTTGAATATATATGTTTTTTAAGCAACCACCAATCACAATCATTTAATCAAATCTCAATTTGATTTATTTTAGCGTGTTCGTGTCCCTGCAATACTGTTGGAAGAACCTGGCAACATTTACTCAGTTTAAACCTGACGGAACAGGAATTGGTTATGTACTTAAATGAATATATACAAGACCTGCAGCAAAACATTACTATTGATCCTAAAACCACGTCTTCGTATATTAATTCCAAAACGTCGGCACCTGACAATCGTTCTTCCTCTGCTGTGATTGGCTGGTTTGGTGGAGTAATGATGTGTGTGCCAATAATTTTATGTCTGTGTTCAGATTTCTGCCGATGTTCTCATGGCAAGAAATCGAAAGAAGAGTAATGATACTGTAGTGATTTTCGTATGATTTTGATAATGATAAAAGCTCCTACGGTTTCGATGATGTGTACTTAAAAGAAATGTTAGTAAATCAAGTGACAATGTAAAACCTATATTCGTTAGATTTTAACTGAACACTATACTCCTTTCTATCATAATAGAAAGAATAATACGATGATACTTGAGTTTTCCCTTAAATAATCGGATGCAAATATCAGGATCAAGAGGGTTATTCCTCAGTAAACTAAAATTAACTTCGATTTCTAAATAGGTGGAAAATGATAAGTAAATTAATTCTTTTCCACTGTCACCATATAAATAAAAATTGTTTCTCCGCAAGGACAATTTTGATTAAAAGTTTACAAAAAAAGTTTTGTAAAAAGTAATGATTAAAACAACTAGAATTTTCTTTTTTAAATACATATTCTTTTATTATTGTTTATAAAAAAGAGGCGAAAGATTCCAAAGGGACATTCAAACTCATGTCGAAAATAAACTGACAACACAATAGCAAAAAAAAAAGAAAAACAAAATTATACAAGACACAACATAGAAAACTAAATACTGAGCAACATTAAACCCCACCAAAAAATGGGAATAATCTCAAGTGGTCCAGAAGGATAAGCAAATCCTGATCCACATGTAGCACCGGTCATGGTGCTCATGGAAGTACAAACCCGGTGATAAGTCTAATTCGGTAGGTCGCATTCGGGAAAAAAAGAGGACGATATTGTGCTTAGGGCGATTGAATCATGTCCGTCGTCATCTGTGAAACAAATATTCCATAACGAAAAAAAAAAAACTCGTGATGACGTCCGTTGTATTTACGAAGGGATGATATCAAATTTACCATTTGAAATTCTTGGTTTAATAGCTTCCTTGTGAGCAGCAACTCTCTATTAAGGATATCGTGATAGGAAACGCAAGCCTTGGAGTATCGTATCAACTGGAGATATATACTCTATATGCAGCTGTTGGAATGTTGCTACATAGAAATGGAAAGTGTATATTACAGATCTTTGGATTTTTTTAGTATCTACATCTGATTCACGTCGCCTCTAGTATAGGTAGATTCACAGTAACTTTGAAGCCCGACTTTGATTGATGATACCATTGATGTTTATAAGTTAGAAAGAGGTTTCGTGAAACACTTGGAAGACCTATCAATATAACGTTGTTTGTAAGGACATGCATGCAATTTGGGTATTTAAAACAGTTAAGGAAGATCTAGTTATTCATAATTGCTTGAAATTCCAATTGAACACAGAACAGACCTAAGATTATCCAGGATTTCCTCTTTGGTAAGTGTCTACGTCTTGTTTCTCGCGTTTAACCTATTGCCTGGCATAATCCTCGACTGAATCCATCAGTATTTTGAAGTTGTGTTTCCAATTTGCTCACGAGGAAGTGTTATTGACAATGTTTAGGTCACCAGTCATAACGTGACCAGTAGAATTATATTTGAATGGGGATCTAGCACAAGGCAATCAGGAGGTTTAGAATTGAAGTCATTAATATCAGGATCTTGCAACACGTGCTTATAATTGAAAATTCTAGTTGCAATTGGTTTGGTATAGGTATAAGAAATGATAGGTACAGACTGATCTTAAAAATAGGGAGGTATTTTCGATTGAACTGATTTTGCCCGAGTTGATGGCATCGAAACCTTTGTTGGCAAAGGAAAGTTTTAGAAAGGATCTTTTCTCCTTTTCATCTTTTCCAATGCGAACTGGTTTGAAAAGTCTGTAAGTGGCATTATCTTAGATGGTAGCTGTAAGTTTGTATTGGTGTGAATTTGGGTTTTGCCTTTTGTTAAGGACTTTCCGTTTTTTCATTGGAGCTCGGTATTTTTGCTATTTTTCTTCTTGATGTAACAGTTGTTTCCAAACACGAGTTGTACAGAAATAAAGTTTTGAAAGGGGTAGTGAATAAGGCTTCGTGTAAATGTGATGAATACCCAACGACTTTTGTATAAATAGCAGAAGGTCATGGAGATTGGTATAATGACGTTGACGATCACTGCGTCTACGTCAAGGAGTAGAGTTGAAAATGTTCATTACATTCACCGAGCTACAGGAAGGACTATATAGAATACCTATACCATCAATTTTGTCATTGCAACCATATTGTGTCGCAGTTCCCGATTCTCAAATCAAGAAGTCTTTCTATTGTCTACGGAGAGGGTTTCAAGATGAGGATTGTTAGTCCTGTGGTACATTTTTTTCGATGATGCGAACTTGCTTAGAAAGGATTGAATGATCAGGCTAATTAAAATGCTAGAAAACAATGTTTCTTGCAAAATCGACAAAAGATCTATAAATCTCACTTAATACAACAAATGTCGAGGACAGAAGTTAAGTGAGATTTTTAACATAAGTTGAAAATGTTGCTTAACGATGGAATTCCTAACGTGCCAAACTCAATACTTTTTCCCCGGACTTAATGTTAGAAACATGCCAATATCAGAATTTGGAATATAAGCAATCAGAGAAACTCCAGAAAATAGATTCCTAATAAAATATTGTGATATGTCTTGATTCAAACAAAATTTATTCACTAAGAAAAATCAAATTCAAAGCAACATTATTCAGACAGTTAGTTGGAACAACTCGACTGATTGAAGCATAACGTCAAGTGGCATATTGTTTATACATACGCGGGACAGGTACAAACTAACAATTGATGCAATAGTTACATGTTTATGTATGTTCTAAACAGTTGGTCGATCGGAATGAAAGCTTAGAAATGGAAAAATATTAAATACTAAACTCGTTCAAAGGGTATCTACACGTCTCAATCTTCAAAATCACTTATCTAAAAATACTACCATCGCTAACATTTTAACAATAAAAATCGTGGTTACCCTTCTATCGATAAGTGTCATGCCAAAAAATGACTTACATGTCCCCGTCTTTCCACCAACAATACGGTAAGGTCTACGTTTAATGGTCGCACATTTTCTTTAAATTTTGAAACTGATATAACTTGAAAAACAAACAGTATTATTTATTTACTCACATGAAACAAACCGGGATGCGGTATTCAGTACGTAGGTGAAACTGGACGATATTTTTCTAAACGCACGCAAGAACACCTGTATCGTTTTAAAAGACCCAATAAATTCAAAAGTATCGTTTATCAACATCTTAAAAAGCACAATCATCCTATTAAATATTTAACAGTTCAACCTTTAGAAGTAGTAGATAAGCAGCCTGGTGAATCTCATTCAAATTTTGTAGGATCACGGAAAATAATTGAATTAAATTGGATTAAAAAATTACAGACAGTCCACCCTCTCGGCCTTAATGATAATATCATGGGAATTGGTAATATATCAAGAACCGATTCTGTTAACATTTTGGATATAGTTTCTAAAACTTTTCGTAAAAACCGTTCTCATGGGCGTAGAAAAAATCGCAATCAAAGAAAATTTCGGACCAATCATACAAATTTTGTCGGACCTTATTTCTATTTCAAAAAACAACGGCAGACATTATCTATTAACCCAGCTCTGTTCTTTACCTATAAATAAATTAAATAAAATTTTAGAGGGTTGCAACACAATTTCATATTGCAGTCCTAAGTATGAAATCGTTCAAATTATAATGGCATATTGTTATAATAAACTGTTTCCCAAAATTGATCGCCCTGAAGATCATAAAAAACATTTTATTAAAATAAAGTATGTCAATAAAGGTTTTGATTTTGTAAATATTGCCGGTATTTTAACGACCATTCTGTTAAAGAACAAATTCCTGGATATTTTGATTATACTGAACTCCCTCTTATTTGTTATATTTACAAGAAATGTACCCGAAAATTTGTGTTTAATTATAACCAAGTCTGTAAAGATGTAAATATCAGTGAAAATACATCTACGTCATGTAATTGTAGTAGTTCCGAAATACACTTATGGCCTCATTTCCCATGTTATAACAGGAGACCTTAACATCGTTCGCGACCGAGAGTTAAAATCGTTCCTCAGTAAAGAACCTAAATATCGTCCCCCGTCAATTATTAATTGGAATGAGTGTCGTAATATCATCCACGACTCACTTCGTGCTTACTGTTTGAAATGAATAAAACGGGAAAAAGCTGACAAAAAATCTTTGGACTCTTTTTTTAATTCAGTAATGAAGATAGTTGATATACGTATACAACATTTTAAAGAACATTTTACTCTTAACAACAACCATAAAAATCCTATTTCTCGTACCAAACATAAACTAATAGAACTAGCCAAGGAATTTGTTTTTGTCCCGGCTGATAAAGCTGCTAATAATATCATTATAGTTTGACGTAAATTTTACATTGAGGTTCTGCAAAAGGAAATCACAAATTCACCAACATTCCAACTGACTTCATTTTCAGAAAACGATATCTGTAACAAACATAAACTATTAGCTACTTCTTTACAAGCAGAACCAAAAACAATGAAAGTCCCAACTATGTACTGACTTCCGAAGCTACACAAATCACCTTACAAATATAGATTTATTTCGTCTTCAAGTCATTGTTCCACTACTAAATTGTCTATTTTACTTACTAGTACACTTGGTACAATCAAAAACCTGATAACAAATTGTTCTAATAAGGCCTTTGAAAATAGTGGAATTAATTACTTTTGGAGTGTCAAAAATTCGTTGGAAGTACTTGATAAATTGCATGCATATATTGGTGATTTTGAATCTGTTCAAAGTTTTGATTTTTCTACCCTATATACCACTTTGCCTCATATTCTTATTAAGAAAAAATTCACACACCTAATTAAATGGGCATTTGAAAAGTCGGAATGCGAATACATATGTTCAAACTCTTTTAGGTCATTTTTTAGTAGCAACAAACAAAAGAACTATGTCAATTGGACATGCTTTGATACTATATCTGCCCTTGAATTTTTACTTGATAACATTTTTGTTCGCTTTGGAGATTCCGTATATCGTCAAGTTATCGGAATTCCAATGGGGACTAACTGTGCACCACTTATTGCGGACCTATTTTTGTATTGTTATGAGTTACAATTCATGACTAAAATCAGCAAAGACCCATCGAAACAACATCTTATACAAAAATTTTATAATATTTTTAGATATTTGGATGATATATTGGCTCTCAATAATGACGACTTCAGTGTGTATACTAAAGACATTTATCCTGTTGAACTTACTTTAAATAAAGCTAATACTAACAATGACCACTGTCCTTTCCTCGATCTTGATATCTATATCATTAACGGGAAGCTTAATACAAAAATTTATGATAAAAGAGATGATTTTTCATTTCCTATCGTTAATTATCCATTTTTAGATGGTGACGTTCCCTTGTCACCATCTTATGGTGTTTATATATCTCAACTTGTACGATTCGCTCGTGTATGTAACAACGTATTAGATTTTAGCGAGAGAAATTTATGTATTACT